ATTTCAGATCTCATAGCATCCCTCCATTCTGGAATCTTAAGAGCTTCTGACACAGACCTGGGAATAGGGTTAGAAGCAACAGAAGAGAGATAGGCAAAGTTAGAAGGTGAAAGCAATCTGTAAGAAAGGTGCTTGGAAATGTAGTGTGCAGTGCACTTCTGTTTTCCTTTCCTAACAGCAATGGGAATATCAAGGTCAGGGAATGATGACTCCAAAGGTGCTGAAACAGTACCTGTTGTCTCTTCTGTGACTGGAAGTGTATGCGGCTCATGTATTGTAGGAGAAACAACCTGCACATTTCTGGATCTTTGCCTTTGATACACCTTGGGATTGAGGATAGGACGAGGAGGTAGAGTATTAGGATAGGGAGAATGGAACGACTGATCCACCCTTGATACATTTGAAGGAGAAGCARACACATCAAGAGACTCAACAGGGATAGGAAGAGGAAGAGCAAACACCTGTGACAAATCCTCCCCCTGTGGACAATGTCCATCCGGAGAGGAACCATAAAAGGGGGAAAGCTCATCAAAGGTGACATCCATTGAGACATACCTAGTGCCAGTCTTTGGATCAAAACAACAGTAATCCTTCTGTGTGGGGGAATAACCAAGGAAGATACACTTTTGAGCTTTGGGTTCAAATTTATGCCTTTGGACACTTGGRACATGTACATAACAGGTGCAGCCAAAGACACGAAGAGGAACAGGAAAAAAGGTCCTTGTCCGGATGAAGGAGATTGAAGGGAGACTTAAACCCCAAAACCTTGGATGGCATACGTTTTATAAGGTAGGTAGCAGTAAGAACAACATCACCCCAAAACCTTGTAGGAACACGTGAGGCAAATAAGATACTTCTTGCAACTTCAACAATATGCCTATTTTTCCTTTCAACAACTCCATTCTATTCTGGGGTCCTAACACAGGAGCTTTGATGAATAACCCCCATGTCAGAGAGATAGCAGGATAGGTTCTTCTCAAATATTCTTTTGCATTGTCAGATTTGAAGATTTTAATCCTGGTATCAAATTGGGTTAGGACAAATTCATGGAATTGTCTTACAAGTTTTGGAACTTTATCACGGGATTTCATCAGGAATATCCAAGTGAACCGAGAAAAGTCATCAATAAATAAGATAAAATATTTGTAGCCACCCATAGAGGATAAGTGGTAAGG